GGTGGAGACGGGAGAACGGACACCAAAGGAGGAGAACGACGAAGAGGAGTACAATGGAGGGCAGTGTGGAGGTCGGTAACGGGGGACGAGGGACGAGCACTCAGAGGATAAGGACGGGAACGGTAGTGACGGACAACAGGAGGAGGAGACTACGGTGGAGGGGAAGACCAGACCACCGGACGGTCGTCAGGAGGAGGAAACGTAGGACCAAACGCATGGGGAGTTCGAGAGCGGACAGGAGGCGAGGAGGGAAGGCCAAGGGCCTGGAGGCCACTCACGGGCGGGAACAACTGCCGCTCCAGAGGGAGCTGCTGCGGCTGCGGTGGCGGCGGCAGCAGCAGCTGCTGCTGCTGCTCCAGCAGGTCCAACTGCTGCAACTCCTGTCGCTCCCGCTCCAACCGCTCCTGCTCCTCGCGCGCACGCCGGCAGGCCGCCTGGTAACGCGTGTCATGGTGGTGGAGAGGCAGAGTGCTCTCCGCAGACGTAGTGCCCCCAGCTCCGGCCTCCTCAGAACTAGCACCCCCAGTACCAGTGTCCCCAGAGGGGGTACCACCAGGGTCAGGGTCCTCAGCCTCAGTGCCCCCTGTCCTAGCACCCCAAGTGCCAGGACCTACAACTCTAGCACCCCCAGAACTAGCACCTCCCATGCCAGCACCTCTAGCTCCAGCACCCCCAGAACTAGCACCTCTCGTGCTAGCACCTCCAGCTCCAGCACCCCCATAGCCAGCACCTCCAGTGCCAGCACCTCCAGCTCCAGCACCCCCAGGGCTAGCGCCACCTGCGCCAGCACCTCCAACTCCAGCACCCCTCAAACAAGCACCCCCAGACCAAGTAGTGCCGGTGGCTGCACCTCCAGCTCCAACACCACCCGAGTCCACAGTAACCTGTCGCGGAAGTACCGAAGGCCACTGAGGGGACTATGAGGAGGACTGCGGGGAGGGAGACGCTACCGGACGCGCGACCGAGGGTAGAGGGGTAGCGTGAGACACACCCGACGAGGCAGGACAAGGGGGGGTGGGGGTACCAGAGGACCGGGAGCTGGGGGAAGAGAGGGTGCGAGGAAAAGGGGGGGAGGGGGAACCGGGAGACCTCTACAGGGGTAGCGAGCGTAGTAGGACACAGACTCGTCGAACCGGACGTCACGGGAGTCTAGGAACTGATGAAGGGGCGGGTGGTAAAAGGACCAGTCGGCCGAGGCCATCGGAAAACCAAGGAAGACACAGGGGATGGCGCGTGCCAAGAGCTTATCTGCAGAGGTGTCGCGGACTTGCGCAAGGCAACCCCAGACTCGAAAGGCCGACCCAACACCAGGGGACTCGGTCCAAAGACTGGTCGGTGAAGCCTCTGGCCGCGAAGCGCGCGGCTGGAGGTTCAGCTGGTGAACGGCGTAGCGAACCGCGTAGGGCCACAGAAAATAAGGCGCATAGGCACGAATTATGGATGTGCGGGCGATGTCCATGACCAAGCCAATGCGGCGCTCAGCAACCCCATTCTGCTGTGGGGACTTTGGCAGCGTCCAGGACTGTACGATGCTCTGTTCGCCGCAGAATCCGGCAAGAATTCCTGAGCGAAACTCACCCCCACGGTCGGAGTGGAGATAGGAGACACGATGGCCACGAGTGCCCTCAGTGGTCGGAAGCCACCGGATCAGCGTAGAAGTTACCTCGGACTTCTTTGCGAGAGGAAACACCGTGGTGTACCTGGAGAAGTCATCAACAACCACCAGAAAGTAGCGCTCCCTCTCACGTCCCTGCGTAGGTGTAGGGCCCTAGACATCCAAGTGGAGCATCTGGAAGGGAGCAGTGGTCAGACGAAGGGAGGAGGAGTGCGGAGTGGCACGAAGGCAGCCGACGATGCAAGGAGTGCACGGCGGTGCAGGCGAGGGAGGGAGCGACGGGAAGACACGAGGGAGACGTGAGACAAGACGGTGACTAGCCATAGTGCGGAGGCGGGGGATCGACGAGTGGCCAAGACGGTGGTGCCACAAGACGGTCCGGTGGGTGAAAGGCCGACACGAGCAACACGCAGCAACTAGACTGGACAAAACAACCTGACAAGACACAGCAACCTGACCGGACACATCAACCTGACCAGACACAGCAACCTGACCGGACACAGCAACCGGCGGGGACGCAGTAACCTGACCGTACTCTGCTTCCGGGGGAGATGAAGCAACCTGACCAGACGCAGCTACCTGCAGGGGCGGAGTGTGCAGGACGAAGAGACCTGAGTGGGGCTCTCTGGTGAATGTGGCAAGAACTGCCTCGGTGGAAGAGTCCGTACAGATCGCAGTCTTCCCGTGCGCAGGAAAAGTGACTGTGATCCCCTGGTCCTGAAGGTATCCAACACCCACCAAGTTCTGAGAGAACGAGGGGATGTAGAGACCAGTGAGGAAACCAGAGGGGACAGCTAGGCACAGGAGAGTGGTCGAGCTGCGAGCAACTGTTGGTCCTGAAGTAGGATCAGCCAGGGCAACTGGGACTAGAGCCGAAAGAGGTGTGACAGTGGTGTGGTCACGAAAGAAGCACTGAGACGCGTCGGAGAGCGTGAAGGAGAGCAACGCAACAACAGTTGTCACGGCTGGGCTAATGACTACACAAGCACCTACACTAAAAACACAAGTACCGATACGAGCAACAGGCAAAGGTCCTAAGCTAGGTACACGTAAGCCAAGAGATCCATACGTGATAGAATAAACAGCATCCATAGACATATCAGACACAGGGTAACCAATACGAAGCAGACCGGGCCAGATCGGGAGAGCCAACTCAGGCCCAAACTGCTTACGGTAGAGGTCGTCGGGGCGACTGTAGCAGCGCTGTGCAGAGTGGTCAGGACGCCAGCAGGTAGTGCCAGCACCAGAGCCGGTCAAGATCCGGTACTAGCAGGGGCCGACGTCGCAGCCACCGCGACGAGCCCCCAAGCTGGCTGGGCCGCTGCTGCAGCCAACGCTACCCAAACCACCAGGCCCCTACGGTTGCTGAGGGCGCCACAGCTGCTGAGGGCGCCACTGCTGCTGCGGGTGCCATTGCTGAAACTGCCGCTGCTGCTGTCCCTGCTGCTGGAGAACCCTAGTGTACGCCATGATAAAGGCTAGGAGCGTCAGGAACTAGGGACGGCTGTAGTGAAACAACGAAAACAACTAGGAGCGCCAGGTGAAACTAGGCGAGGAACTGCTGGAGCACGGAGCAATCTGAGCTAAGAGCGAGGAGTGAAAAGGACTAGAACTAGAATGGCTGGAGCTGAAAGGGCTGGAGCTAGAACGGCTGGAGCGAGAACGGCTGGAGCTAGGAGTGGCTGGAGCTAGAACGGCTGGAGCTAGAGACTGTGAGTGCGGCTGTCGGCTGCCGCTAGTAGAGCCACTAGCAGTGGAAAGTACGTGCGATAGTAGGGGCTGCAGTACTGACGGCTGCGGTATGTAGGGAACTGTGCAGGTCGTCTGGCAAGCAGGAACGCGGGCGACAGTTGCAGCCCAACACCCTGAACCCCTCCTTTTTTTTTAAGGGTTTAATTAATTTATTTGTTTTCTGGCACTAAAGCGTTGCGGGGCGCGCTGCCTGCAGGGTGTGTTGCCTGCGGGGCGCGCTACCCGCGGGGCGCGCTTCCCGCGGGGCGCGCTTCCCGCGGGGCGCGCTACCTGCGGGGCACGATACCTGCGGGGGCGCGTAGCCTAGGGGCAGGGCGACGCGTGGGCTAGGGGCAGGGCGCACTGGCACGCACGGGCTAGGGGCAGTGCACACGGACGACATGACGGGCTGGGGCAGGGCGCATGGGCGACGTGGCGGGTTGGGGCAGGGCGCACGGGCTACACGACGGGCTGGGGCAGGGCGCTCGGGCTACGCGACGGGCTGGGGTAGGGTACACGGGCTACGCGACGGGCTGGGGCAGGCCGCATGGGCTACGCGACGGGCTAGGGGAGGACGCACGGGCTACGTGACAGGCTGGGGCGGAGGCGCGATACGGGGGGCGTGGAGGGCGCGTAGGGGAGGGCTAGGCGCGGAGGCGCGGAGGGCGCGTTACGGAGGGCTCAGAGGGCGCGTTAGGGAGGGTGCGGAGGGCGCTAGGGCGCGTGACGGAGGGAGCTAGGGCGCGGAGGGCGCTAGGGGCGGAGGCGCGAGAGGGCGCGCGCTAGGCTAGGCTATGCAAGGATTCTAAACCTACTCGTGATACCATCTCAAACATAGAAGACAACGGAATGATGAGATTAGGAATGTGGGTGATACAAACAGCAAACCCTAACTGAGTTGTACTCACTAATGAAACACCTCACTACAGCCTATCACAAATATCAACATTTGACAGATCCCTGAGGTCAACTTCGTTTCGTCGCGGTGCAAAACGGTTGAGAACCGCTTTTCACCGTGCGGAATCGTCTGGAGCCCGATACACTACCGTAAGTGTAAATGCGTGGGCCTCAGAAGTCAGTGAAAAAAGGCTGATTCAGGTAAATAAGGCTGAGATTTCAGACTAGAGCTGATTTCTTCTGCAATTTTTATTTACACAGTAAATTTATTTGATTTGTAGTGTAAAATGGCATAAAATGGCTGATTTGTCTGATTTTCAGCAAGACGTTTTGTACCAACTCTGATTTTTCAGCCTGGCCAAAACGAATTTGAGGCCCCAGCAATGTACAACCTAACATCGGCCTAAAAAAGCTCAGCCCGCATCTTATCAATCACTCTACAGCGTACCCGAAAATGCCTACGTATTGCACTTAGTTCCTCCGAGCATTGATCAGTCTGTATTTTCAGAGTGATTATTACAGCTACAGTATTCCCACACATTAGATGGCAAACATAGGAAAAATAACATTCACCCCAATACTGTCAACAAGAGATCCCAGCCAAAAAGGGAACACAGACACGACGCCCATGGATTCCAGCTCTGAATGCCTGCATACCCCTTCTCCTCTAGCTGTGATGCCCACCAGAGACGCGTGCCAGAGATGCATCACCAGTCAAACCTTTTCTTAGGCTCCCTTAAAGTATGACCATGGCCTTCTAGCTCTGAATGCCCGCATAACCCTTCTCCTCCAGCTGCGATGCCAGAGATGCATCGCCAGTCAGCACAATGCGGCCTTGCTCCTGCACACTCACCAGGACACACAGTACCATGAAACAGCATGGTTCGGAGGGAAACATTAAGAGAGAAAAAAAGGCCCAATAATAAAGTGAGGTAAAAGGTCTCATCCAGTTGTGATGCCAGAGATGCATCGCCAGTCAGCACAATGCGGCCTTGCTCCTGCACTCACACCAAGATACCTTATGAAACGGCATGGGTTGGGGAACCAGGATGAGAAAAACAAGTTCCAGTAGTGAGATGATCTTTTGAGTCGTGAGACAACCTTTCAGTCTTCTCTAAAGTCGACTCCAGTTGTGATGCCAGAGACGCATCCCCAGTCAACACAACACGGCCTTGCTCCTGCAGGCACCCCAGTGTATGGAACTCCAGGAAAGCTGCAGGGTGTTACCAAGCAAACATTCAAGACGCGCGTCCACGTCTAGCCCCGAGTCGATCTCGTCCAGGATGGCCAGCTTGGCGTCGCAGAGTGTTTTTGAGAATTCGTTTCCTGCGACAGCACTCTGCAACAGGATGGCCAGCTTAGCGTCCAGCACGGCGAGCTGGAAGATCTCGACTAGACTGCCCTGCCCCCCCCCCCCCCCTCCTACTCTGCTTGCTCGCTCCCACCCAACCCAAACTAAGCACGCACCATGATATGGATGTAGTCGGGGCGAATGTAATCCAACAAACGCTGGTAGTGGGTGATCATCAGCACCGCCTTCTCAGGCCGCTTCAGGGAGTTGACCGCAGTGGCGACGTCTCTGAGCGCGTCCACGTCCAGCCCTGAGTCGATCTCATCCAGGATGGCCAGCTCAGCGTCCAGCACAGCGAGCTGGAGGATCTCGTTGCGCTTCTTCTCGCCGCCGCTGAACCCCTCGTTCACGTTGCGCTGCAGGTACTTGAGATCCATGTTGAGCTCCTCCAGCTTGGGGCTCAGGAAGCCGTAGAACTGGCAGGGGAGGGTGGGGTGGGGATGGGTGAACAGACGGCTTAGGGATGCATGTATACCCCCCTCTCTCCCCTCCCCCGGTCCCTTGTTCACGTTGCGTTGCGCTGCAGGTACTTGAGATCCATGTTGAGTGCAGGCACTTCCAGCTTGGGGCTCGGGAAGCCGTAGAACTGGCAGGGCAGGGGGAAGAGGTGGGGAGACGGTGTGGGAACGGGTAATCACAGGGGAAAAACACAAGGATTCAGGATGCATGTCCTCCTCCTCCACACCACACAACCCCTCGTTCACGTTGCGCTGCAGGTACTTGAGGTCCATGTTGAGTTCCTCCAGCTTGGGGCTCAGGAAGCCATAGAACTGGCAGGGGGCAGGTAGAGAGCGCGAGCAGCGTCCTATTTTGTTTATTTTCTGTGTGAGAGAGAGGGCTTACCCTGACACACGGTGAGCCACATTCTCACCCTTTCTTCCTCCAACCCCGACCACATTCCTCAAGCTTCTTCGTCCTTCCCTCCCTCAAAGAGCAAATCTCACTCCTCGCTCCTCCTCACCTCCAGAGGTTCCATTTCGGGCAGCCCTTTAGCTGCCCGGCGCGCGTTGCACGAGAGGCGCAGGAAGTCGACGTTGTTAACTCCGGGCAGCTCCACGGGCGACTGGAAGGACAAAAACACGCCCGCGTGGCTCCTCTCCTCGGGCTCCAGCTCCAACAGATCCTCCCCGCGGTACGTCACAGAGCCACCCGTGATTTCATAATCAGGGTGACCCACCAGCACCTGTAGAAAGGGGATAGGTGAAAGGAGGGGAGGAGAGTGTGCGGGTAAAAGAGGGTTCAGGGAAGGAGAGAAACACGCCTATCAGCGTGCCTCCTCTCCTCGGGCTCCAGCTCCAACAGGTCCTCCCCGCGGTAGGTCACGCTCCCACCTGTGATCTCATAGTCGGGGTGGCCCACCAGCACCTGCCAAAGGTCGAATGGGGGGAGGACGGTAAGGTGGGTGGGGAGTGAGGGGGCGTTGTTGACTCCGAGCAGCTCCATTGGCGACTGGAAGGACAGAAACACGCCTATCAGCGTGGCTCCTCTCCTCCGGCTCCAGCTCCAACAGATCCTCCCCGCGGTACGTGCGTCACGGAGCCACCCGTGATTTCTTAGTCAAGGGGGGTGGCCCACCAGCACCTGCCAAAGGGGAGGGGTGGAAGGAGGGGAGGTTCGAGACTTAGCTCCAGTTCAAACAGTAAGAGCCAGGCTCCTCTCCTCCGGCTCCAGCTCCAACAGATCCTCCCCGCGGTACGTACGTCACGGAGCCGCCTGTGATCTGATGGAGCTGCAGCAGGAGGAGAGGAGCCACGCTCCTCTCCTCAGAGCCGCCTGTGATCTGATGGAGCTGCAGCAGGAGGAGAGGAGCCACGCTCCTCTCCTCAGAGCCGCCTGTGATCTGATGGAGCTGCAGCAGGAGGAGAGGAGCCACGCTCCTCTCCTCAGAGCCGCCTGTGATCTCGTAGACGAGGTGGCCCCCCAGCACCTGCACACGTAAAGGGAGGTGTGGGGCATGTGGGATATGTTGGGACGGGTGGAAGGACTGATCTCGTAGACGAGGTGGTCCACCAGCACCTAATGCCGGCCGTGATTTGATTCGACTTTGAGAAGGAGGAAGACTGGGGATGGTGAGAAAGGGGGGGTTGGGTTGGAAGAAAGGCGGTGCCGTGGAGGTCAAACGGATGTTGTAGGGGGAAACTGCAGTCTTCGGCATGGGATTTTTACAACTACGGATACAGTTACGGCGGAGTGAGTTTTGACTTTCGAGAGAGTGCTGGTACACCTGAGAATGCACCATGCACCTGACAAAACACACCTGAAAATACACCTGAAAAATACACCTGAGCGCTCCTTCTCAGATGCAAGAGTGCAATCCAAACGGCGGAGTCTCACCTTGGAGAGAGTGCTCTTCCCGGAGCTGTTCGTCCCCATGATCGCGTGCATCTAAGAATGCACCATTTACCTCAAAACTTGAATATGCACCTGAGAGCGTTCTCAGATGCTGTAGTGCCGTTCAAACGGCGAGGTCTCACCTTGGAAAGAGTGCTCTTGCCCGAACCGTTCTTCCCCATGATCGCGTGCACCTGAAACAGCAGCCCCATGGAGCACGAAGTAGTCAAGAAAGGAAGATGAAATTAATTGAATTAATGTGACAATGTTAATTCTTGAAATGCCTTGAAACAAGGGCAGGAAGGCGAAACGTAATCCGACGTACTAGAATATAATAGGTCCTGAAATCACGACTCGAGTATCCCGACTGTCTCGCTTAGGGTGGAAAACGAACGATGAACCCATTTCAGAAGTTATTTGCGATAAGCTCAAAACTTCGAGTGCGACTTGGCTCTTGCACTGAAGTCCCACGTTTAACTACAGATAAGACGCGGTTGATGTTTCGAGCAACGTATCTTGTGGAATAAATCGATTTTGAGAAGAATTCCGGGAGGTCTCACCTCGCCTTCGCGAATGCAGAGGTCAACGCCATGGAGAATCTCTTTCCCGGATTCAGCAATAACGGCTTTCAGGCCTTTGACTTCAAGCATCACTGGCCTCTCCGTCTGATCCGCCGCCGGCGCTGCCGCTCCTGCGAGCTGCGCGTCGACAGCCAAGGCTCGGGTGGTCGCGCCGCCGGTTGCGCTCCATCGTCCCTGAGATCCCGCCGCGAATCGCGGAGCTGAGATGGACACGGGAGCTAGCGAAACTCTGCTGGCTGTTTGCAGCTGACGTTGAAGCTGGGTTTGCTTCGTGACGGGTGTGGACTTGATGCCAGATAGACAATGAGACGAGATTGTTGTGGCCATTGTGGAACCGAAAGGAAAGAGATTCCGACACGAGGAATGCGGTGCACGCGCAATTCGTGCGACTAGGGTGTAGGAACTAGAAGACTGCGACGCGTAGAGCTCTGAGAAACGAGAATCGCTTGTGTGTGATTTCTTAGGACCCTAGTTCTAGCAGCTCGAGTCTAGGAAAATGTGTGTGTGAAGCCAGGAAGTAATTTTAGAAGACCCTCGATATGGACATAGAATTTGAGATGCTAGGTGACGAGGATGAATTCTGGAACCAAGCCTTTCCTGCTGACGGTGCGGGAAAATCTAGCGAACGGTCGGATCTCGACTGGACTGGGGTGACTGACGGCTGGATGTGCAGTTCATGAAGGTTAGTGGGGGTCATGTGCATGTACTCAGAGCCACGTGGCTTGCATACCACATCCACAGGTTTCGAGACTGGATTGTGTGGCACTGGGATTGCTGGTTCGATGCTTTCATTTCGCGGAAATTTCAAAGTTGCACTCCTGAAGAGCCATGAAGCTGGCGTGTTGTGGCATTCATGAATTGTTGACGTGGAAGCATTTGGTTGGATGAGGTGCTTCGTCAGTCCATTCGAGAACGTAACGCGTTTGATCCGAACAACAGGGAACCAAGGTTCATATTGTACCAACATCATATACAACGATGCTATGATGTTTGAAAGAAACAACCAACCTAGTAGCTCCAAACCGAACTGAAACATCTCACAACATAACAGCACGCTGCACTAGTCATAACATAACAGCACATTGCACTAATAATAACATAACAGCACAGGGCACTAACTGCGTATCGTTAAGGGCTATATTTACTGGAAGTGTTCATCTGGGCCGACAAATCAGCTGTGGCCGTGCATGTCATCTGGATGCATCCTAGCCATCTGATTGTCGTACACCTTCCAGTCGCCCTTCACTTGCACTGTTACACCAGCCGCAAACTCATATCCTTGTGTCGATGCTTCTCCTGGGACTAATGCTGCTGTTTCTGCTGCTCCTGTTGGTGCTGCTGGTAATGATTGCAGAGGCAATGCAGGGTATTGCTGCTGCTGCTGCTGCTGCTGCTGCTGCTGCTGCTGCATTGGTGCTACTGAAAACTGTGAAGATGATGAAATGTGCAGGTCGCTAGGATGCTGCTGCATGGGGGTTGCATGTTGCAACATAGACTGATCATCAGGCATAGAATGGTACTGCTGACGGTCAGGGGCCATGGGCATGGCATGCCCATGCATAGGAATGGCATGTTCATGCATGTGCATACTCGGCTCACCATACTCTCTCTGGGAGTACATATCACCGTGCTGCTGCTGCTGCTGCTGCTGTGGCTCCTGAAGCTGCTGCTGCTGGTGATGCTGCTGCTGCTGCTGCTGCTGCTGGTGATGCTGCTGCTGCTGCTGCTGCTGAAGAAATACATGTGCCTGTGATTGGTCCACTGCTGGTTGTGACAACGATGGTTGTTCCATGAATGGCTGTTGTTGCATGGGTTGTTGTTGCATGTATGGTTGTTGCATGGGTATGTGTTGCGTGGGTGGTTGTTGCATTGATGGTTGTTGCATGGCTGGTTGTTGCATGGATGGTTGTTGTTGCATGGATGGTTGTTGCATCGATGGTTGTTGCATGGATGCTTGCTGCACGAGTGATTGTTGCGACACTGGTTGTGTCAGCATTGGCGCTTGCATGGGCTGCATTTCCGCTTCCCTGCCTGTCCCAATCTACCCCTGTTCCTGCCCCCGCCTACTGCTGCTGCTTCTTAGAAACTTCGGAAGAACCAGGCGAAGTGGTTTTGGCTGTGCCACTTCGTGCTGCTGCTGCTGATACTGCTGCTGCTGCTGCTGCTGCTGCTGCTGCTGCTGCTGCTGCTGGTAGTGCTGCTGATGTTGCTGAACTGCTTGCTGCTGCGCTGCTTGTTGTTGCTGCTGCCAAGGTGCCATACCCTGCTGAATCGGTGTATGCTGCTGCAGCTGCTCCTGTTGCTGCTGCTGCTGTAACTGCCATTGCTGAACCAGTGGCTGCTGCTGCGGTTGCTGCTGCATTTGCATCTGCTGCTGTTGCCACATCTGTTGCTTCTCATCACCCTGCCTCATCCTTCCCACTCCACCCGTCCTCTCCCTCTCCACCTCCCTCCTTTCCACCATCCCGGCCCTTTTCCACGCCTCTTCGTCCAATCCCATCACGACAGCTGGCGTGGGCCCCACAGCAGCAGAAACAGCAGCTGCTGCTGTTTCTCTTGCTACAGCCGTCCCTCTTGTAAGCACTACAGCCGGAGCCTTATTCGACACCACGTCTCCCAGTGGTCGTCTGGGCACTGCTGCTGGCCTGTGCTGTTGATAAATAGTCCTCTGAGATTGCAGTTGCTGCAATGGCTGCTGCTGTCGCTGTGTGTGCTGTTGTGTGTGCTGCTGCTGCATGTGCTGCTGCTGTGTGTGCTGTTGTGTGTGCTGCTGCTGCATGGGCTGCTGCTGCTGTGTGTGCTGTTGGTAAGCTCTCTCCTGTGGTTGAAATGGCTGCTGCTGTGCGTGCTGGTGGTGAAGCTGGTGCTGGTACTCCTGCTGCTGCTGCTGCTGCTGCTGCTGCTGCTGCTGCTGCTGCTGCTGCTGCTGCTGCTGCTGCTGCTGCTGCTGCTGTTGAAATGGCTGCTCTTGTTGCTGTGAGTACTGTTCGGAAGCTTCCGGTCCTGACTCATACCAGTGCTCTGGCGGTGGCTGTTTTAGTTGATAGCCCTGCTGTTGCTGCCGCGGCTGCTGCAATTGTTGGTGGTGCTGCTGTTGCTTCTGAAATGGCTGCTGCTCTAGTTGCTCAAATAGCTGTTGTTGCTGCTGAAACGGCTGTTGCTCTTGCTGTTGAAACGGTTCTTCGTACTGTGACAGAGTTGGCAGCTGCTGCTGTTGCTGTTGCTGTTGTTGTGGGTGCAGCTGGTGTTGGTGCTGTTGCTGCTGTTCTTGATACAACTGCTGCTGCTGCTGCTGCTGCTGCTGCTGCTGCTGCTGCTGATGATGATGATGATGATGATGATGAATGCTCAACTGTTGCTGAAACGCCTCCTGCTGCTCTACCTGCTGCTGCGTCCCCTCCACAGGACCGCTCACCGCATCAAATCGCCCAGAACCACTTCTCACCGCACCAAAACCCTCTGTAGCACGCATATGGGAATCACCGAGAGGGTCATTGGTTTCTAGCATGAGCTCATCGAAGCTGCTACCTGCTGGTAGCATCACATACTGCTCGTTCTGGGATGGTTGCTGCTGGGGTGGGTGCTGCTGGGATGGGTGCTGCTGGGGTGGTTGCTGCTGGGGTGGGTGCTGCTGGGATGGGTGCTGCTGGGGTGGTTGCTGCTGGGGTGGGTGCAGCTGGGGTGGGTGAGACTGTTGCTCATGAGAGCTGCTGCCCGCTGGTAGCACTATGTGCTGTGGCTGCTGCTGCTGATGATGCCGCGGCTGCTGCTGCTGATGGTGCTGCGGCTGCTGCTCCTGTTGCTGCTGATGATGCTCCTCGCCAGGCAATACCGCAAATTCCCCATGCCGGTGGGTGTAATGCTGCTGCTGGTAGTGCTGCTGCTGCTGGTGATGCTGCTGCTGTTGCCCCTGCAGAGAGTACTGTTGATGCTCTAGGTATCGTTGCTGCTGCTGCTGCTGCTGCTGCTGCTGCTGCTGCTGCTGCTGCTGCTGTTGCTGTAATTGTTGTTGTTGCTGCTGATATGGCTGCTGCTGCTGATGATGATACTGCTGCTGCTGGTACTGATACTGATTTTCCTGGGGCAACGTTTGAGTCGACTCAAAAGTCACCTGATACTGATTTTCCTGGGGCAACCGCTTTTCCTCTTCCATCCCCCACTCCACCTCACCACCCCCTCCCCGTCCCTCCATCCCCAACCGTCCCATATTTTCAGATGCTGTAATTGTTGTTGTTTCTCCTAGCCCTGCCTCCTCTGTTGCCCTAAGAGTCATCTCAGCAAGATGCTTCTGCATGCCACCTGCTAGCACCCCTCCCACACCTTCCACTGTTGCTGACGATACCTCCTCTGCTGTACCCAGACTGCCGCCACAAGCACTCGCACTGCTTGTCATGCTCCCATGCCCCCACGCCTGCTGCTGTTGCTGCTGCTGCTGCTGCTGCTGCTGCGGCTGCGGCTGCATGCGCCAGTTACTCCATCCACCAGCATAAAAAAGCCCTCCACTCGCCCTCCCAGATCCACTGCCGCTGCTGCTGCTGCTGCCAATGCTGCCGCCTCTCCTCATCCCCCAGTGAACGCGAGCAGGTGGGAGCACAGGCGCTTTTCCTGAGCCCAGTGCTTGCCTTTGCTGCTTTCTATGCTGCTCCGCCTGCTCTTGCTGCTCCGCCTGCTGCTGCTGCTCCGCCTGCTCCTGCTGCTCCGCCTGCTCCTGCTGCTCCGCCTGCTCCTGCTGCTCCGCCTGCTGCTGCTGCTGCTCCTGCTGCTGTTGGAGGTGCTGGTGCTGCTCCTGCTGCTCTGAATACTGCTGCTGTTGCTCCCACTGAGCCAGCATCTCGGGCATGTCCTCATCTCTCTCCCCAACCAAGACAGACCCAGCGCCAGCAGCAGCAGTTGCACCGGTAGCAGCGCCAGCAGCAGCACTGGTGGCAGCAGGAGAATCAGGCGGAGGAGGAGGTTCAGCAGCAGAAGCAGCAGCAGCAGCGGTGTCAACAGTCACGGGCTGTATGAGAGGAAAAGGAGGAGACGGAGTACTGAGCTCCACACTGCCCTCCCGACCAGACCCTCCCAACCACCCTCCTGTTACTCCAATCCCTTCGCCCATCCTTTCACCCATCCTTTCGCCCATCCCTTCGCCAGTCCATTCCCCAAACCCGCCAATCCGTTTGCCTAATTCGCCTGTCCAGGACTCCTGCCTGCTATCGCCCTCCGTTCCCTTTGCCTCCATATAGAGTTCCCCGCTACTGCTCAACAGCCTTCCCGAACTTCCCGTCCTGCCTGCCCCACGGCCGCCTGAGCCAGCTGCCGAACCATGCAGAGGCCCGGACCTGGCTCGGTATCTCAGCCTGCGTTGCCCTGGGCCAGCAGGCTCGGGCCCCGAACCTGCACAAGCAGATGCAGCAGCACCACCCGCAGCAACTGCTTCCACCGCTGATGACGTGTCCGAGCCTGCTGACCCAGCAGTGGCTGCTGATTCAGCAGCAAGGCCTGCTGACTCAGCCGCAAGACCCGCTGACTCAGCAGCAAGGCCTGCTGCTGACTCAGCACCACCCATTCTCAGGGGGCCAGATCGGGACCTCAATCTCTTGCTGCTGCTGCTGCTACCGACCAGCCTATCCACTTCTGCCACGTCCCTTAGTGCCTGAATCAAATCCATCTTGGCAGGATCTCTGACGCCTTGCTTTTCCATGAGGAACGAAAGAGGGCCTAGCAGTTGCTGGGATGGGACAGAGGGTTGCTCTTGCTGCTGCTCTTGCTGCTGCTCTTGCTGCTGCCCTTGCTGCTGCTCGTGTGCATGTGGTTGCTGCTGCGGAGGCTGCGGCTGCGGCTGCTGCTGCTGCTGCTGGTCTGACTGCGCCTGCTGTTGTTCCTCTACCCTTACTACTGCCGACCCTACGCCTGTCGCCGTTCCCCCACTCGCTGCCAATTGTTGAGGCGCATCAAAAACTACCTGCTGCCCCTTTACCCTCAAAGCCGCCGGCCCAACGTCTACCCCACTTGCCCGACCCGCTGCCTTTTCCGATGCTCGTCGGGAAAACGCCGCCGCAATCGCTTTGCTAAGCATCCCGCCAGCAATACTGGCGGGTTTCGCGGAAGCAGCGCGGGACGAGGAGGAGGGGGCGGAGGAGGAGGAAGAGGAGGCGGAGGAGGAGGAGGGGAAGAAGGGGAATGGGGAGGAGACGCCTGGGCGGGGATGGTAGGCGAAAGAGATGGAGATTCGAGCTGTACTCGGTATAGCGCGCCCCTCGTTATCTACAGTGGTGAGAGAAAAATCTTGCTCGCCTTGCTTCTCTAAAGCGTCTCTATTGGGGGGGGGAAAGCAGGCATGGAATGGACAAGAGTAAGGGGAGGTTGGGGGGGATGTGGGCGGGGGAAACTGGGGGAAGTTGGGAAGGAAACACGAATCCTTGAAAGACGAAAATCTGTTGAAACTGATTGGGTGGTACAAAAGAATTGTACCACCAGGGGATAAGAGAGAGAATTAGAGCATAGCAAACCCTAAACTCGTGTACTAATTACCTTATAGGAATGTACACAAACGCGAGCAGCTGGTCCTCTGTGGTGCCTCGGTGGTGACTGGCGAACCAAACCTCGCACTTAACCTCGGTGGCACGCTCGGGAATCCCAACCTGCAGGAAGGTACGGGAAGGCAAAAAAAAAAGAATGCAAGTGCACGAATAATCGTATAACAAAGAAAACTTGAAAAACAAGGGAGGAAGAAAAGGTTGTGGGGGTTGGGGAGGACGGGAAACGGAGACGGAGGAGGGGGTGGGAGGAAGGAAGGAGAGATAGGGTTGAAAGAAAACCGTCCTGACTCCCTGCGGTGTTTGTGAGCATGAGTAAATTGAGTTCTAGAAAAAATCATGTACCGTTTATTCTATTCAAAGCCTCTCTTGTACTACCCGTAGTCGCAGAGTTAAAGCTGAGTGTACGGCTGTAGCCGTTGATCAAACTGGGTTTACCTGCAGCCGTTGATCGAAGACTGGGTCCGTGCCCCCTCCTTTGATCGCCCGCGTAGTGAGCGCGACTCGGCCGAGCGGGTCGCGATCACCGCACAGCACCTTGGCGTACACATCTTGAGCCCCGAGCGTGGACCGATTCGGTAATCTTTCCGCTTGCAGAATATGCACATCGAGAATACCGACTAGGTTCCCGCCTTTTCTCGCCATGTCTTTTTATTCGTTAAGGTGTTTAGTATTCAGCTCGTGTTTAATCAGTCGTGTTTTACTCGTGGGGACCACTATCGTCCTTCTCTGCCATCGAGGGCCGTACGTACACGATCAAGTATTACTGGCAGTGTTCATCAGCCTCGAAAAAACAAGAAAACACAAGCCGGAACGGTTAATCAGTCTTTGGATTTTCCGCGACGATTTTCCACGACAGGATAATTGAAATGAGAAGCTAAGCTCTTGAAGTGGGTAGTCATAAGAGCTGGAAGAACAAAGGTCTTCGTAAGTTTCTGGAGCGAATTGTTCAAGAAAAGGGAGAAAGTATTCTAAAGAAAGAGCGAATTGTTCAAGACGTGCTTCTTCGAAAAGAATTCGCGACTAAATAGACGGCGGTGAACACTCGAAATTGCTATAGCTGGAATATAATATATTCGCTTTCCCAACAGTCGTTTAACAGTAAAAACTTCGAATCCAGAAAGGCATGGCCATCTACGGATGCAGGCGTGAGAAAAGCAGACAAGCTCAGCCGAAACACCATCGACAAATAAATTCGACACGATTTCAGATTTCGAGCACGTTTGACATCGAAGCTGGCGAAGCTGCGAGCTGCAGAAGAGACTATATACACGTGTATCTGAAGCCATCGTGATGTCGAGATTCCTGGAGGAAGGGTTGATGTCCGTGTGCGTGCAAGCAAGCATGGGCGGGAAAGAGTCGAGTCGGAGTAGTTGCGTGTGATAGGGAGGGAGCACACCAGACCACAGCTGAGCAAAGCAGAGCGGAGGGGAGAGCAGGTGGGAAGGATAACCAAGAGTTTGGGTGTGCGGTGCGGTTAAGGCCGAGCCTGGGTGAGTCTGGTTTGGTGGAGAAAAATCTCTGGGGTAAACCACGTACGGATAGCTTGGGGAAAGCATATCTGGTTTGGATGTGGTAAGGGGTAAGTTGGGGCAGAGGTCTGGTGACTTGAGCTTGGCCGTGTCCCGGAAGTCCCGGAACAGCCTCACTGTGAAAGGACGCTGGGAAGTGTTCGAGACGAGGGAGTGCAGAACGGCGACCTCGCCAGACAGCATGGTGATGCTGGGCAGAGGAGCCGCTTCGTGTCTCTTGCTGGTGACGGCGGAAGTTCACCCGCCGATCAAATGATTTTTTGGGGCGAGAACATGGGTCTTGTTGAGCTCAGCGCACCAAACGAAACCGATGCACACAGCGCATCACATAATGCAGGGTGTTTTCCCTTGTTCCGGCAGACCTGGCACATCCAGATACTGCCTTATTTGACCAGGCCTCTGTCGGGGTGGGAGAAATTAACGCGGTTGATATGGGCTGGATGTTTGTAATTTGGGTGTGGAAGAGGGTCTGACAAACCCACCGGCCAAAATGTCCACATCTGGAAGATCGGTTCTGCCAGGTTCGCAACCAGTGGCGGCCAGCGCCCAACTTCTAGATGAAATCGGAAACTGAAATTGGGCTAAGTAACAAGATTCACGGTGCAGAGACGTCACTTGAATAATGTCATAATGAAGTTTTGCCTGCAACAGTTTTGTTGTCGTCACCAGTGAAAGGATTCGTGTTTAGCCCAACCATGCAATTCAGGGCTCTTGAAATTACGATCCGCCACAAATGGATGATTGGGTGTACCTTGAAATGGACGAGTGACTCAAAACGAAAGGGAGGCCTGGTACCGAGCCAAGAGCAACAAAACCAACACGAACCACCCAACCACCCGACCACACAGAAGATCGTGGTTCGTGCTCAGCACGGTCCAACAGAGACGGGCAGTGTCCAAACTTAAACGAAACTTTTTTCAGCCAATCAGAATTACTCGGCTGCCCATTTTGCTACGGAGTTCACTACCTTCCTCGCACCCGCCTCCCTCACGTCGGACTCATTTTCCTAGGGAATCCTGGCAAGGAGGAGCAACGTTCGGTTGCGAGAGAAATGTTTAGGCCGCTCACCAAATGTTTTGGCCGTCACTGTTTTCACTGTCCCCACCTCGAGGGCCGATGTGCACTTCAATGCGCGTTCGGCATGCTGCTGACTGGAAGCCGTCAATGTGACTGCAGTCAGATGACTGCCACGCGACGCCGCCAGGCTTTCAGAAGCAGCGCTCGTTTGATGGTTTGACCGAGCCTCGTGGCTTGACGGCAAAGTCACGCTCGGTAAGGCCTTGGCTCGGCAGCGCGACGTGAAGCTAGTAGAGGCGGAATTCGTCGGAGAAAGCCCCCTACGTGGCAAAGTTCAGAATCGATGCGACCAAATCCACTCGGGATGGTTTCGTGTCGGTGGAATGTACCTCAGAGAAAAGGTGGCTTCGTATGCACAACAAGAGCGACCACTTATCGAAGTTAGAGCCATCAGCGTACAGGACATCAGAACCAGGATGCGCCTAACCTTATTCCTTCCTATTCCCTCCATTAAAACATCAACTTGCTGTATTTCTCATACTGGCATTCCCACACTCGGTATTCTCTTCTTCAAATTAGTACGGACATTTCTATTTTCCAGCTCTGGGTCTGCAACTGACCAGCTGACCTTCAGAGGCAACAACCGATTATTCATTTCGCGCGAACACTTTGTAACATGCTTCAGATATTGTACCGGTGGAGAAAATGAACAAAATCGAGTGTTACTGCCAAGGGGAGAACGATGTGGGCTTCAGGATTTGCTTACTAATGAGTCTAAGCTCCGATGCTAAGTGTCCAGAAGTTCCTATAGCAGCATTACTAGCCTGCAATAGATGGTGAGACATAAGGGATGATGACAAAGTGGGGAAGGGGAACACACACCATAGATGAGAAGAGCAAACGAAAAGCACAAAGTTAAGCACGACGAACACAATGCGACGAGTGCATTCCTAATGGATGAAAAACACGGCAAGGTGCTGATAGACCCAAACCACTTTACCGCCAAATAAAACAAGAAAAAGTACAATCAACTTTGATTGCAGGCACAAATCTGGGCTCATCGAGAGCGCTACACAGCATGAAGGGAATGCAGCAAACTAGAGACAGAGAGAGATGGGAGGGGAGAAAGGTTCACCAGAACACTAGGGAGAAGGGCGAGGAGAGCAAAGGCGAACGAAGACAGACAGAGAGAGGGGAGGGAAGAGGAGACGAGCGGATAGGGCAACCTTATCGGCTAAGTAGCAGTCGGTGGTGCTGCAGTGGCGCCACAGCTCTAGGGCACTGTCTGGCCTGCAAGCGGGCCAGGGTGAGGAGAGTGAGGGAGCAGAAAAGGCTAAGCGCTTTGTAGGGTCACTCAAATTAAATGGCCAAGTAGCAGTCAGTGGTGCTGCAATGGCACCACAGCTCTAGGGCACTGTGTGGGGTGCAGGCAAGCAAGGGCGATGTGAGTGGGAGAAAGTAACAGTCAGTAGATGACAGCATAGGAGAGAGACAGTCGGTGGTGCTGCAATGGCACCACAGCAGCTCCAGGGATCTATGTGGACTGCAAGCAAGCAAGGGTGGGGAGAGGGTGGCAAGAGTGGAGATGAAAAGAGGGCCAAGCAGGTAACTTGATAAATTTGGCCTGCGATGCTGTAGAAGCACACGAAGGGCTGTACAGGAAGCTGAGGTAGGGTGAAAAGAAAGCATAGAAACATGCCATGCCATGATGCGCAAGATTGAAGATGACGAGGCACAAGGCTTTGCTATAAGGTGACTTTTGAGTCGACTCAAAAGTCAAGATGACGAGGCACAAGGCTTTGCTATAAGGTGACTTTTGAGTCGACTCAAAAGTCAAGATGACGAGGCACAAGGCTTTGCTATAAGGTGACTTTTGAGTCGACTCAAAAGTCAAGATGACGAGGCACACGGCTTTGATATAGCCATGAGGGAGTGCTATGCCTCCTCATGGCTATAGTGTGAAAGCGGAAGAAGAAAAACAGTGTGAAAAAATAGTTGCATTCGGAGGAGTTTTAGAAGAGGTTGAACACTTGACATGGGCGACAAAGTGTTCGGTATTGAAGAGGTGCAAAAGCTGGAATTGAGCACTCAGAAAGGGTGAAATGGAGCACTCAGAAAGGGTGAAATGGAGCACTCAGAAAGGGTGAAATGGAGCACCAGGCATTTTTTTTAATTCGTCTCAAAAAGGGTTACCGTGTGTAACGGTCAGAGCAGCCAACAAAGAGTTGGAGAGAGGGCAAACTTTTAACATTCGACTCAACAATAAATTCCCGATGCGTGCCATTCATGGTAGAGTGAACGATGCGTGCCATTCATGGTAGAGTGAACGATGCGTGCCATTAATGGTAGAGTGAACGATGCGTGCCATTGATGGTAGAGTGAACGATGCGTGCCATTAATGGTAGAGTGAACGATGCGTGCCATTAATGGTAGAGTGAACGATGCGTGCCATTAATGGTAGAGTGAACGATGCGTGCCATTCATGGTAGAGTGAACGATGCGTGCCATTAATGGTAGAGTGAACGATGCGTGCCATTCATGGTAGAGTGAACGATGCGTGCCATTAATGGTAGAGTGAACGAACGTTACCCGGCGTCAGAGAATCCAAAGAAGAGGCAGTGAGAGGAGGGAGCAGCCGCCAGGCGAGCAGCGAGGCTGTGAGACAGGGGAGAGAGGATAGGGCAGGGGAGAGAGGTGCGAGAGGGGAAATGGGTTAGAGATGAGGGGGAGGCAGATCAGGGAGGCTAACATAAGAGAGAGCCTGTGAGAGTGAGAGGCAGAGAGGGAGAAGCAGTGGTTAAAGAGGCAGAGAGTGGAGGGAGCAGACTTTTGAGTCTACTCAAAAGAGAGCCTGTGAGAGTGAGAGGCAGAGAGAGAGAAGCAGTGGTCAAAGAGGCAGCGAGAGGAGGGAGCAGCCTCCTTTCGAGCAGCAGGGAGCCTGTGAGACAGGAGAGAAAGGCAGCGCAGGGGTGAGAAAGGTGAAAAACGAGGGACAGATACGGATGGGGTGAGTGAGAGAGGGAGAAAGGCAGGGCAAGGAAGGGCAGGGGTGAGAAACGAGCGGCAGATACGGATGGGGTGAGTGAGAGAGGGAGAAAGGGAGGGCAAGGAAGGGCAGGGGTGAGAAACGAGCGGCAGATACGGATGGGGTGAGTGAGAGGGGGAGAAAGGCAGGGCAAGGCAGGGAAGGGGTGAGAAACGAGCGGTGAGAGAGGGAGAAAGGCAGGGCAAGGAAGGGCAGGGGTGAGAAACGAGCGGCAGATATGGATGGGGTGAGTGAGAGAGGGAGAAAGGCAGGGCAGGGAAGGGCAGGGGTGAGAAACGAGCGGCAGATACGGATGGGGTGAGTGAGAGAGGGAGAAAGGCAGGGCAAGGCAGGGCAGGGGTGAGAAACGAGCGGCAGATACGGATGGGGTGAGTGAGAGGGGGAGAAAGGCAGGGCAAGGAAGGGCAGGGGTGAGAAACGAGCGGCAGATACGGATGGGGTGAGTGAGAGAGGGAGAAAGGCAAGGCAAGGCAGGGCAGGGGTGAGAAACGAGAGGCAGATACGGATGGGGTGAGTGAGAGAGGGAGAAAGGCAGGGCAAGGCAGGGCAGGGGTGAGAAACGAGCGGCAGATACGGATGGGGTGAGTGAGAGAGGGAGAAAGGCAGGGCAAGGAAGGGCACGGGTGAGAAACGAGCGGCAGATACGGATGGGGTGAGTGAGAGAGGGAGAAAGGCAGGGCAAGGAAGGGCAGGGGTGAGAAACGAGCGGCAGATACGGATGGGGTGAGTGAGAGGGGGAGAAAGGCAGGGCAAGGCAGGGCAGGGGTGAGAAACGAGCGGCAGATACGGATGGGGTGAGTGAGAGAGGGAGAAAGGCAGGGCAAGGAAGGGCAGGGGTGAGAAACGAGCGGCAGATACGGATGGGGTGAGTGAGAGGGGGAGAAAGGCAGGGCAAGGCAGGACAGGGGTGAGAAACGAGCGGCAGATACGGATGGGGTGAGTGAGAGAGGGAGAAAGGCAGGGCAAGGAAGGGCAGGGGTGAGAAACGAGCGGCAGACACGGATGGGGTGAGTGAGAGAGGGAGAAAGGCAGGGCAAGGCAGGGCAGGGGTGAGAAACGAGCGGCAGATACGGATGGGGTGAGTGAGAGAGGGAGAAAGGCAGGGCAAGGAAGGGCAGGGGTGAGAAACGAGCGGCAGATACGGATGGGGTGAGTGAGAGGGGGAGAAAGGCAGGGCAAGGCAGGGCAGGGGTGAGAAACGAGCGGCAGATACGGATGGGGTGAGTGAGAGAGGGAGAAAGGCAGGGCAAGGAAGGGCAGGGGTGAGAAACGAGCGGCATATACGGATGGGGTGAGTGAGAGAGGGAGAAAGGCAGGGCAAGGAAGGGCAGGGGTGAGAAACGAGCGGCAGATACGGATGGGGTGAGTGAGAGAGGGAGAAAGGCAGGGCAAGGCAGGGCAGGGGTGAGAAACGAGCGGCAGATACGGATGGGGTGAGTGAGAGAGGGAGAAAGGCAGGGCAAGGAAGGGCAGGGGTGAGAAACGAGCGGCAGATACGGATGGGGTGAGTGAGAGAGGGAGAAAGGCAGGGCAAGGCAGGGCAGGGGTGAGAAACGAGCGGCAGATACGGATGGGGTGAGTGAGAGAGGGAGAAAGGCAGGGCAAGGCAGGGCAGGGGTGAGAAACGAGCGGCAGATACGGATGGGGTGAGTGAGAGAGGGAGAAAGGCAGGGCAAGGAAGGGCAGGGGTGAGAAACGAGCGGCAGATACGGATGGGGTGAGTGAGAGGGGGAGAAAGGCAGGGCAAGGCAGGGCAGGGGTGAGAAACGAGCGGCAGACACGGATGGGGTGAGTGAGAGAGGGAGAAAGGCAGGGCAGGGGTGAGAAACGAGCGGCAGATACGGATGGGGTGAGTGAGAGAGGGAGAAAGGCAGGGCAAGGCAGGGCAGGGGTGAGAAACGAGCGGCAGATACGGATGGGGTGAGTGAGAGGGGGAGAAAGGCAGGGCAAGGCAGGGCAGGGGTGAGAAACGAGCGGCAGATACGGATGGGGTGAGTGAGAGAGGGAGAAAGGCAGGGCAAGGCAGGGCAGGGGTGAGAAACGAGCGGCAGATACGGATGGTGTGAGTGAGAGAGGGAGAAAGGCAGGGCAAGGAGGGGCAGGGGTGAGAAACGAGCGGCAGATACGGATGGGGTGAGTGAGAGAGGGAGAAAGGCAGGGCAAGGAAGGGCAGGGGTGAGAAACGAGCGGCAGATACGGATGGGGTGAGTGAGAGAGGGAGAAAGGCAGGGCAAGGAAGGGCAGGGGTGAGAAACGAGCGGCAGATACGGATGGGGTGAGTGAGAGAGGGAGAAAGGCAGGGCAAGGAAGGGCAGGGGTGAGAAACGAGCGGCAGATACGGATGGGGTGAGTGAGAGGGGGAGAAAGGCAGGGCAAGGAAGGGCAGGGGTGAGAAACGAGTGGCAGATACGGATGGGGTGAGTGAGAGAGGGAGAAAGGCAGGGCAAGGAAGGGCAGGGGTGAGCGGGCAGGAGCGAGAGGAAAAGGCAAACAGGGATGCAACGAGTGATGGGGAAAGAGTCTCAACCCCCCCTTGTAGCATCGCAGCTCATACACCCCAGGTAATGATGGGGATGGAAAAGGAAGTGTTGATGAGGAGACTTTTGAGTCAACTCAAAAGTTAGCCAGGGTGGTGGTGGTGCTGCTGCTGGTGCTGGCGCTGGCGCTGGCGCTGGCGCTGGCGCTGGCGCTGGCGCTGGCGCTGGTGCTGCTGGTGCTGCTGCTGGTGGTGGTGGTGGTGGTGGTGGTGGTGGTGGTGGTGGTGGTGGTGGTGGTGGTGGTGGTGGTGGTGGTGGTGGTGGTGGTGGTGGTGGTGGTGGTGGTGGTGGTGGTGGTGGTGGTGGTGGTGGTGGTGGTACTTACCGTACCGGGAATGTCTCCTGAATGTCGTAAGGCTTGCCTCGTCCCTCGTAGCAACGCAGCTCATACACCCCCGGGGATGGTGGTGATGCTGATGGTGCTGATGCTGATGGTAGTGATGCTGATGGGAGTGAGGAGGAGGAAAGGGGTGACGCACTTGCAGCCGCTGCTGCTACTGCAACCATGCATTTGGAATCCTCCAGGAAAATGCTCGATTCCTTCAAAAGAGAGCAAAAGAGAAGAGAGAAAACGGGGGAAGAAGGGGAGGCATGGGGAAAAGGAAGAGAAGAAAAGACCACACAGAAAAGACGACAGACATTGCAACCCAGAGCTAAGAGCCACAGGAGCCACGGCCACAGCAACCACGAGCAGGGTCATTTTTGTTTAGATTTTTTTTAAATACCCTGCGACGACAGACATTACAACCCAGAGTTAAGAGTCATGGCCACAGCAACCACGATCATTCGCCAGGAAGGACAACCCTTGGGGGCGTTTCTAAAACTGAAGAACGAGTTCGAAAACGTGACAATGAAAAAAGTGGTACGAGTCAGAGAAAACTCCAGCTAGCATCAGATAGCTTGGGTACCCAAGCTATCCCAACAAGCCCAGCTAGCCCCGCTACCCAAGCTAGCCCAACTACAACAGGTGGAAGAACTGGGGGAGAAAATCAAACGAGACCAACAAGTACGGCAAAAGAGCACCATATATGTGTATGTATATGTATATATATATTTATATATACATATATATATATATATTTTTTTTTGCGGCTTGCGTCGAAGTGACTCCAGTTTCTCTTGAATCGACTCAAAAGGTAAAATAATTCAAGAAGAGCCATTAATCATAGCAAAAGAACACTTAAATGCCCCGCCATCTGTGACTGGAACGCTGACTTTCAAACGAGACGAGCACAGCACGTATGGCGAAAGAACACGCGCGAATCTTAATTCGAGACTCAAACAATGCCCAATAAAACAGCTTTGGCGAAAGAACACTCAACCGCCCTCTCACCTGAGAGTGGATGTGAAGTGAAACACTAGCTTCACCAAAAACAGGTACTCTCTAGTGATTCTACTGATCCCCGCCGCCCACCATGCCTGCTGCCTGCCATGCCTGCTGCCTGCCACCTTCAATTGTCTCGAGAAAACTCTTCCATGCTAGTTGACTATCGTCCCCTTGCTAAAGGCGACCTTGCCTACTGCTGCCCTTCTTCATGAGCACAGATCCTCGAGAAAACTCTTCCATGCCACAATCCGATCCGAGTCGAATTTACTGTCCCCCTCACCTGAGACTGGAAGGCTGGTTTCACTAGAGGAAGTGTCTCCTGAGTCCACTCCCTGCTGCCTGCCATGCCTGCTGCCGTTTCATGTAATTCTCCAATTGGTCCAATGAAAAGGCATTTCGCAGGTCTCCAATTCTCGCAGTACTCCAATTGGTACCCTTGCGAGTCGACCACCCCAATTGGTTAACTCAACTGCCCCCTCACCTGTGACTGGAAAACCGGTTTCACAAGAGGTAGGTACTCCTGACTCCACCCCCTGCTGCCCGCCATGCCTGCCCTTACTGCGTCCCTCTCCTCCCACCCGCCTGTGTGTGTGCGAGGGAAGAGGAGGGGAAGGAAAGGGTGAGGGAAAGGAGGACGGAAAAGGGATAGAGGAGGGCCAGGGTGGTGTGGGGGTGTGAGACTCCTAGACCCACGTTTCAAGGCGCCTCAACAATAGACTCTCACAGCATTATCTCGCTCTCTCTCCCCACCCACCTGTTTGTGTGTGGGGGAAGGAGGGGGGAGCGAAGGGGCAGAGGAGGAACAGTGTGGTGCGGGGGTGTGAGACTCCTAGATCCATGTTTAGAGGAATTTTCTGAGAATTCTAAAAAAATCCCTGCAACAGCGAAGGGGCAGAGGAGGAACAGTGTGGTGCGAGACTCCTTCCTAGATCCACGTTTCAAGGCGCCTCAACAACAGATTCTCACAGCATCTAAATCCCTCTCCCCCTTCCCACCCACGTGTTTGTGTGTGGGGGAAGGAGGGGGAGAGAAGACGTGGAGGAGGAAGAGCGTGGTTCAATAGAGTAACAGGGTAACTGTAGAGGTGGTTACCAGAATAACAGTCCGTGTGGTTACCAGGATAACAGTGGTTACCAGGGTAACATTGCATGTGGTTACCAGGTTAACAGTGCATGTGGTTACCAGGGTAACAGTGCATGTGGTTCACAGGGTAACAGTGAATGTGGTTACCAGGGTAACAGTGCATGTGGTTACCAGGGTAACAGCGCATGTGGTTACCAGGGTAACAGTGCATGTGGTTACCAGGGTAATAGTGCATGTGGTTACCAGGGTAACAGCGTGGTTACCAGAGTAACAATGCATGGTAACAGTGCATGTGGTTACCAGGGTAACAGTGCATGTGGTTACCAGGGTAACAGTGCATGTGGTTACCAGGGTAACTGTGCATGTGGTTACCAGGGTAACAGTGCATGTGGTTACCAGGGTAACAGTGCATGTGGTTACCAGGGTGACAGTGCATGTGGTTACCAGGGTAACAGTGCATGTGGTTACCAGGGTAACAGTGCATGTGGTTACCAGGGTAACAGTGCATGTGGTTACCAGGGTAACAGTGCATGTGGTTACCAGGGTAACCGTGCATGTGGTTACCAGGGTAACAGTGCATGTGGTTACCAGGGTAACAGTGCATGTGGTTACCAGGGTGACAGTGCATGTGGTTACCAGGGTAACAGTGCATGTGGTTACCAGGGTAACAGTGCATGTGGTTACCAGGGTAACAGTGCATGTGGTTACCAGGGTACAGTGCATGTGGTTACCAGGGTAACAGTACATGTGGTTACCAGGGTAACAGTAGAAATGGTGCACCTCGTTCAGCACTCCCCCAGTCTCCACAGTCCAAAACCTGACGGGCGCGGGCAACGGGAGGAGTGGAAAGGAGTGGAGAGGAGTGGAGAGGAGTGGAGAGGAGTGGAGGGGAGTGGATAGGAGAAAAAGAAGGGGGGAGGTGATGAACCTCGTTCAGCACTCCCCCAGTCTCCACAGTCCAGAAGCTGATGCGAGGGGAGAGGTGGGGGAAGGAGGGGACTAGAGGAGGAAGAGAGGTGGTAACCAGGTTACAAGAAACGCGTCTGGTTGGGGTTCAAAGCTGATGAACAGCATTCAGCACTCCCCCAGTCTCAACTATCCGAAAGCTATATTAGTGCGACTTTTGAGAATTCTCAAAAGTCGCACTAATATGCGAGAGGGAGGAGGGGGTGCAGAGGGGAGAGGAAACGAGGAAAGAGGAGGGGAGGAGAGGGAAGGGGAAGCGGAGCGGAGGGGAGGGGAGGGGAGAGGTAAGGGGAGAGGTAAGGGAGTAGGGGAGAGGAAACGAGGAAAGAGGAGGGGAGGAGAGAGAAGGGGAAGCGGAGCGGAGGGGAGGGGAGGGGAGGGGTAAGGGGAGAGGTAAGGGGAGTAGGGGAGAGGAAACGAGGAAAGAGGAGGGGAGGAGAGGGAAGGGGAAGCGGAGCGGAGGGAGGGGAGGGGAGGGGTAAGGGGAGAGGTAAGGGGAATAGGGGAGAGGAAACGAGGAAAGAGGAGGGGAGGAGAGGGAAGGGGAAGCGGAGCGGAGGGGAGGGGAGGGGAGAGGTAAGGGGAGAGGTAAGGGGAGTAGGGGAGAGGAAACGAGGAAAGAGGAGGGGAGGAGAGGGAAGGGGAAGCGGAGCGGAGGGGAGGGGAGGGGAGAGGTAAGGGGAGAGGTAAGGGGAGTAGGGGAGAGGAAACGAGGAAAGAGGAGGGGAGGAGAGGGAAGGGGAAGCAGAGCGGAGGGGAGGGGAGGGGAGAGGTAAGGGGAGAGGTAAGGGGAGCAGGGGAGAGGAAACGAGGTGAGATGAAAGGAGAGGATTGGAGAGAAACATTTCCGAGCTATCTTTTGAGTCGACTCAAAAGTCACCACATTCCCGAGCTATCCCCCTCGCAAAACATTCTTCCATACCGCATGCCCTTCTATCCGCGCCATCCCATTCTTAAGTTACTCCAACCGATCCTAACCTCACAGCACTCCCCAATCCCCCCTGCCACGTAAATCCCCATCTGCCGTCTCACCCTCCACTTCCCCCTTTCACCTTCCTTTCTGCCGCCTATCCCCACTTCCCCCCTTCCATCCCCCGCCTACCCGCGCCATCCGGGGCTCAGCTCCTTCCGCAGCGCCGCGAATCACTTCCCCATCCCCCCTTCTTCCCCCCGCCCCCTTCCCCGTTTACCCCATTCCCCCCTTCCCCGTTTACCCCATTCCCCCATTCCCCGTTTACCCCATTCCCCCCTGCCGCCTACCCGCGCCATCCGGGGCTAAGCTCTTTCCGCAGCGCCGCGAATTTCCGAGTCGCGTCTAAATAGGTCTTTAGCTCGCCGGGGACTATGCGGTACGTGCGCAGCTCAAATATCGGCGGGGATCTCGACCCGCCTCCTGACGTGGCAGCTGCTGATTGAGCTGATGACGGCATCGGCGCTTTCGTGGCACCTTCTGATTGGCTGACGTATCCTCGCGCCGTCGCGAACGTGCCTCCCGCGCCGTGATTAGCGGCAACACCTAAGCCAAGATAGAAAGACGAACTTAGAGACCTTAATCGACTCTGTCCTAAAGGATCATATGCGAGTGCGAAAGTGCTCACACTTTCGGTAATAGCCCCAGATTTAGTGCAACTGATACTGTTACAACCGCGATTAAACGTTTTCGTCAGGGTCGCGGTGACCTGGAAGAGGTGCTTCGCCATCACGGAGGCGACATTCGCAGCTCTTATTGCGAAAACGGGATCGTGGACCCTCGGAACTTCCGCGAGCAACGCACGCGGATATTCGCGCGCTTTGTCGTTGCTCAGGCTGTCTCTCGAATCGCAAATTCTGAAATATTTGACATAGGCTGTGGGGGATCAGTGGTGTACCCATTCATCCCAACATTGCAGGTGCTCAGTCTGGTACGGTGCAGAACGTTTGGTTTGCATTTTGAAAAGGTTCCTTAAGGTAAAGAATCTGCAAACGGGTGGAATTGTGATAAGCTAATAAGCAGATGGAGTCAAAGGAAGGATTCTAGGGTGCAATTGAGTGAGCGAGCGAGAATTGCACTACACCTAGTCCGCGGTATTTTAACCGCCGCTATCTTAACCACGCGAGAGTACTTCTCCTTTATCAAACTTATTTAGTCGGGTTGTTTCAAACTTTACGAGGGTAGAATCTAGCATTCCCTTCGCGAGATGACGGTAGAAAAAACTCGGTGAATGCCGAGTGTGACAAATGTCACTCTGTCTATCTTGGAGCACCAAGTGTGAGTTCCTTAGACGGAAGTGCTTTCGGCTGCAGAATTGTTAAGATTAGGAGCATAGTAGCTTAGGGTTTGAACTAGGTGAGGGTGACGAGAGGAAATAGCAAGCCAAAAGAGGGGCTTCACTAATGAGAAATGAGAGTACAAATAGGCAAACAGCAACACAAAGAGGTGCACAACCAAACATGATGCAATAACTACACTACAACTGCAAACGATTATATAAAATATGTGAACATATTTTGACACGCCCCCATAATTGTTTGCAGGAGTAAGTGTAAAACGCCCCCTGATGGGGTACACCAAGAGTGCAGCGGAAGAAGCAGAAGCAGGCAAGAGCAGTAGTAGCCGGTGCAGGAGTGGCAAATACAGCTGTAGCACGCCCTCAGCCAAAGCAGAAGCAGTAGCAGGTGTAGGGGCAGCAGGTCGCCTGAAGAGCAGGCTCTGTGGCTGCAACGTGCAGCAGGACAGCAGCGGCTCGACGGCAGCACCTGCAGGCCCCAGCAGCAGTCAACAGAAACAAGGGAAGGTGGAGGCAGGGGCGGCAGCAGGAGGTGCCACGGTAGCAGCGGGTGGCAGCTGCAATTTCCTGACTGACTTCCGCCACCCTCTCTTACCCTCCCCCCCACAGCAGCACGAGCGGCAGTGAGAGAGAGAGAGGAGGGGCGGCTGCTGGCTTTGCAGAATCTCTCTCGCCACCCCCTCACACTCCCCCCGCCCCCTTTCACTGGCGTACGAGCAGCTCGTGCGGGGCAGGGGAGCGGCGCAGTTGCGCGCGGCCATACGCGGCTGCGCGCGGCTGTGCGCGGCTTCACGTGCCCGTACGTAGCTTCGCGCAGCTGCGCGTGGCTGTGGCAGCTCGTAACGGGGCGGGTAGTGCGGGGCGGGTGACAGGGCGAAGAAACAACGGGGCGACCCGAGCCGCCCAGCTCGTCGCCATGACAGCAGGGTCGACGATGCAGTGCGACGGGCAGGAGACGGGCAGGTTACGGGCAGCAGCAGACAGCTCGCCGTCGCGCCCGTCACATCAGTCGCAACTAAGGGCACGACGGGCGCCACAAACCGAGAAATACGCGGTGGGCCCATTGAGAATGAAAAGGTTAGGTCTTAGGACGACCTAGCTCTTAATACCATGTTAAGATTTGGAGCATAGTAGCTTAGGGTTTGAACTAGGTGAGGGTGACGAGAGGAAATAGCAAGCCAAAAGAGGGGCTTCACTAATGAGAAATGAGAGTACAAATAGGCAAACAGCAACACAAAGAGGTGCACCACCAAACATGATGCAATAACTACACTACAACTGCAAACGATTATATAAAATATGTGAACATATTTTGACATGAATCGTAGCCTCGATGACTCTGGGTGCTAATATCATTACCCAGAAACGAACAAAGGGGGTTTGAAAGAACAAAGTTCACTTGGTTAAAATACCGCGGATTAGGTGTATCGAAGGAAAACACTACATTGAGCTAAAGGCGTGTTAAATCCCCACACAATTCCGAAAATGGGTGTGGCCGAATTTTCGACGACCAAATGGTCATCTTGTGAAGAAATGAGGAATGAATTGACTAAGGGAAAGTTGGGTGCAAAAGCAAACCCTAGAAAACTGTACCCTATATGTGCTACCCCACTATAGCCTACAGTAGCTATGTCATATAAATCTGACACACCCCCATAGGCAAAGTGGGGGAGAACAAGGGGTCACAAGAGCAGTCAAGCAAAGCAAAGCAAGCTCAGGGTGGATCACAAAGTCACCACACATTCCGAGCACAAGTTCAAGGCCACAAGGCTAGTTCACATGCATTGTGTTTCACTTTTCCTGTGTTCAACAAGAACAATGCATTCAGGATTACATATATATATAAGGCTAGACAAGCAAGAGCAGGTGTATATATATATGCAACAGTACAAACAAGGTCAAGGGGTGAGCAAGTGAGGCAAGGTAGGCACAAGACCCAGCTGAGTACAGAAGCGCTGATGATCACAAGGCGCAAGTGCCTTGGTGAAGATATCAGCAGTGTTGGCCTCAGAGGCCACGTACGCAAGCCGTAGCTGACCACGCTGCTGTAGCTCACGAGCAAGGAAGTAGCGGAGAGCAATGTGCTTCGTTCTGTGCTCCAGTCTCTGCTCTCGACACAAGGCCAGCATGGCCTTGTTGTCTACGTACAGCACTGGAGGAGAACGAGGCGGCTCTTCGAGGTCAGTCAGCAGGTAGGTGAGCCAGCGAAGCTCCTGTGCAGCCATGGCCCCGGCGTAGATCTCAGCCTCACAACTGGAGCCGAGAACAGAAGACGAGCGGGTAGCCCGCCACGAAACAGAGCCGGAACCAAGGCTGAAGGTGTAACCCTGTGACGACCGCTGCGTAGCCTGGTCGTCAGCCCAAGAAGCGTCTGCGTGCCCAGTGAGGACCACTGGACTCTGCCCTCCAAGCACAAGCCCCATGCCCGACGTACTGCACAAGTAGCGCAACACCCTCTTCGCTGCAGCCATGTGCTCCGGTCTGTGTCTCCCAGGAGCAACATAGCGTGCAAGAATGCTAAGAGGGTATGCAAGGTCAGGTCGTGTGCAGGTCATCAGGTACATGAGGCAGCCAACAAGCTCTGGGTACGGGCCACTCGACTCTACGGACTCATCCGAAGGCAGAGCTGAGAGCGAGTGGCGAGTAGGCAGAGGAGTGGCCTGAGGCGAGGAGTACGTGAAGCCGAAGCGCTGAAGGACCTGCTGCACCATGTGTGACTGAGTCAGGGTAATGGTGCGGCGTGCTCTGTCCCGGGTGATCTGCAAGCCAAGGTAGCTGCGCAGTTCACCCAGGTCTGTGCACGTGTGTCTCTTCTGCAGCTCGGAATTCACGTGGGCGAGTCCAGCAGTGTCAGCTGTGGCGAAGACCAAGTCGTCGACGTACACGAGGATGTAGAACGGCGGCAAAGAAGTGTCGGTGCGCAGAAACAGCGACGGGTCGGCAGTAGAGGGAGCAAACCCAAGAGCCGCAATTGTAGTCCTCAGTGTGTCGTGCCACTCACGCGGTGCCTGGCGGAGACCGTAGACTGGCCGCCGGAGGCTCCAGTGGGTGCCAGGAGGAAAAGACCCAGTGAAGCCAGGTGGGCGACGCAGCCAGATCTCCTCGTGCAGGCTGCCCTGCAAGAAAGCAGTGCTGAAGTCAAGAGAGTGCAGCTCGTAGTCGCGGTGAGCAGCTATGTGCAGCAGTACCCGAAGAGTGGTCATCTTCGGGGTGGGAGAGAAGGTCTGAAAGTAGTCAACTCCCTGCCGCTGACTGAAGCCACGAGCCACGTAACGCGCCTTGAAGACAGGCGGAGAACCCGGCGGCCGCTTCACCCTGAAAATCCACATGCCACTGACGATGTTCGCCCCAGGCGGGGGAACCTCGTCAACGTAGGTGCCTGTGGACTTCCAGGAAGCCATCTCTGCGTCCATAGCTGCCTGCCACTGAGAGGAGTAGGGACCCTCTATCGCCTCCGCGTAAGAGCGCGGAGTCGGGATGTCAAGTGCATCCGGGTCTCCCTCAGGGGTAAGCAGTACGGACACGAGATGAGGTGAAGCAGCAGCCAAACACTGGAACTCCTCCTGCCTGTCCTCAAG